TAGTAGACTCTCCATCTGTGAAAGTTCCTCCCTGGGCCCCCTCTTTGAATTCTTGGAGCTACCACTGCTTTAGAATGTGATATCTTTGTATCACTACATGCCTCAGCCCTGACCATGGTGAGGCTGAGGTAGTCTGGACCTTTCATCTGTATCTTTCCTTCCCCTGACCCCCTCTTTTGCTAGTTCTTGGATCAGCCACTAGCTTTAGAATTATGAATCCCGGGACGGGTTATGCCTGGAGAAATGTCAACCCTTCTGTTCAGCACTGTGTCCCAGAAAAGGAGCTAAATTCTGTCACCTTGATATCAGTGCTTAATACTGAACACGTCCATTCATCTATTATTTTAAAAGTAAATGCCTTGCTAATTTTGTTAATTTTTTAATTACCAACAATTTTGGAACAGAAGGTGACTCCATTCCTTTTCATTGTATTTGTTATTGTCATGGTGGAATAGACAATAACTGGATTTTGCGTCTGGAGAAACATGTATAGGTGTTATTTTTGCCCTACCTGACGTCAGGTAGGGCAAAAATTCTTCTAGAAGTGGCGGGAGCAAACAAGAATTTCATAGAAAGTAACCCGTCTGCAAATATAGAATATTTTCCTGTATTTAATATACTGTATTTAGAATTGTCTCCCGGAAGTCAGTGCCGAACGGTATCACCATTCACAGCAAAATATAATTAGGTGTTAAGAGAGCTTATGTATTACTAGATTGGGGAAGTGGCTGGTTTGGACGCACAAGTTCTATTTTTAATGTGCTTGGTCTATGTTAAATATTAATGGATGGCTGGGAATGCATCCGTAGGGCTGCTCGGAGAAGTAGGTAGCATGATTGTAAAACTGTTGTCAATGAGCAGGGGAACACTGAGACATTCTGTTTGAATTGCCAACGAATATTTTTTAATAATAATTTATCTAATTTCATTCATTTTAATTGCATATAAGTTATTGAAATAGAGAAATAGTCATACAAATTAATTTGTAATATCAGTGATTCAATATTTCTTAATAAAAAATAAAATTAATTTTTTAGTGATTGGGAAAATAAAGTTCGTGGCAAATTCGTGGCAACTAGAATAATGCAAATTGTATATTGCCACGATTTTAACTTCACTTACTGAAAAGGTATCATTTTGTATTTGATGTGGACATTGATTTACCACCAAAACTCTTCAATGATGATGAAATAAAATCTTCATATTTTTTTTTTTGTAAAAAAAATGTGTTGTGTGTTTATGTATTCTATACTGTATTCACAAAGTTGAACTAACAACAGCTACTCTGAACTAAGGCCCTTGATTTTTTAGACTAGATGTATTCATCTGGAAAAATAAATGTAAAACAAATTAAAAACAAAATATGTCATGAAGTCCTTCCAGTAATTCTAGACTTGTCTTGTAAAAAGCATTTAAACAAAAATGAAGATGCCTAATCCAAAAAAAAAAGTTATATTGTATAGTATTGACACTAAAGCAGAGGTGGGTGGGGGTGGGGTGGTTACTGAAAAGAACGTAAGGGGTCATGGAAGGGGTTCAAGGAACGAATTGAAAGGCTGATTTAATCAATTTTGAAGTCACTATTACTGTACAAATAATTTTTTCCCCAACTATTTGTTCCCATCCGCCCTCACCACTGGCCAGTGGCGTAATGCCTATGTGCTCTCGTGCGGCGGTCCGCAGGGCCCCCCGACACATAGGGGCCCCAAAGTTGCCCCTACACATGGGTAATTTGGTCTAGTCCTCTTATCCAAAAATGGCTTTGTTGATACATAATAACGTGTCTCTGAGATTGACTGTAAGACATATCACATCCAGTGGCGGATTAAAGGGGCCCTGTAGGCCTGAACACCCTGTCGGCCTGAACGCATTTTAAGTATAAAACCCCAGAATCGAAGAGGCCCCAGTCACAGGAAGCCACAGGGCCCCGGGACCCATCGTTACGCCAGTGGCACCGGCGCCACTCCTGCACCATAGTAAGATAGCGAGTGGATTAAGAATGGAAATAAAGCGCCAATAGATGAGAAGATTGGAGATATAGCCTACCCCTTCCTATTCTGTGGGTCAAGGGTGCGATATACCATTGGAATCTCAGGAGCTAAGCCATTTAGCAAGCTGCTGCCCAAGTTTGTCGGCCACTCACAGAGATTGCGGTTCGACTCTCAAAATTAGGTCGAGACCCCTCCCCAATTTCTCCACCCCCCAGCTGTGTATGTGGCAAGGCACTTTTGACGTTCACCTAATTTTGTCTCTTCATCCACGCGTACGTCCTGGTAGGATATTGTGGCATTGCGTGGTTGTGAGTATCGGAGCACGACTCAATTTATACATCAATTGACACCATTCACAACAATCAATAATAACAATAATAAATTTCAGTCAGACTGTTTTTTACAATTTTTATGTATTTAATTATATTTGGGATTTAAATGAAATAAACGATAATTTCCTATACATTTTCACTCAAAGGGTATACGATACTGCTATACAATATGGACGAGGGATTCCTCAACAAAACTCACGTTTACGTTTTTATAGCAAACTTAAAAATGATTATGATACAGAAGATTGCTTATACGATATAAATTAATGACACTCTTATCGAGATACCGTTTGTGGTCAACACATAATATATTTATAAGGAAAAGAAGACATCTAAAAGTTGTTAGAGAAAATAGAATCCGTTTAGTTTGTGATATTGGAGAAATAGAGGATGAATTACATTTTTTATTTAGCTGTCCTATATAATAATCTTAGAGATAGGCCTAAATACACTAGTATTAAAAATCAAAATATATACACATATTTAAAACATTTAGAAATAAACAAGAATTAAGATTGCTTGCAATATAGGCCCTACTGTATATTGAAACATGTTTTAGTTTTAGAAATGACCGCCTAAAAGAAATTAATAATATTGATTTTGTAAGGCCAACATTACAAAATAAATACAGAAAGAATCAATCATAAGAAAATGGGAGGTGTTCGAGTCTACAATAATCCAGTTAAACATTTATTCAGTGTGTTTTATATATCTACATAGTTGCGTTTCGAAGTTAAAATTATATTAAAAACATAAATAATATGTTTAAAGAATGTACAGTATATGTTTATTTTCAGTATTGTTAGTTGCATCTTGAAACGACAAAATATGATGACGTCATTTTATTCTGCGTATAGGCTGTAGACATGAATGAAGACTTTCATGCTCGAGTTTGGCGTAATTTCTTTGACGGCGTACTCGTCCCAACGTGTGTCCGAAATCATGCGACTGGCTAGGTCCAACCCTTGACCCATGCACGGTACACACATAGCTTGTACCACGTACTTGTGTCTGTGAAATATAAATAAAGTAATCCTTGTTGGAATTACGAAAAAAAAAAAAAAAAACAATAAACACTGTCTCTTATACACATCTAGATGTGTATAAGAGACGGCTGGCCAGTGGCGTAATGCCTATGTGCTCTCGTGCGGCGGTCCGCAGGGCCCCCCGACACATAGGGGCCCCAAAGTTGCCCCTACACATGGGTAATTTGGTCTAGTCCTCTTATCCAAAAATGGCTTTGTTGATACATAATAA